CGGAAATTTGGGATGAATACATTGACTTCTACGAGGGGCAGATGGGTTCGGAGACGCAGGAGCTCATGAACATGCGCGGGCAGGCCACGATGACGGAGGCACAACGAAGGGAATGGAGACAAACACTGGAGAGGGGAACCGCCACAGCGACCCCTCGAAGCAGAAGTCGCTCGCCGAGGCGAATGGTGGTGACGAATGTGGGAGGGCGGGAAAGCCAGAACGAAGGCCCGGACAAGACAGGTGACGAGGGTGGACAGGATGATGGCTCCTCCTTCATGCAGAAAAGAGGGGCAGGCGACTCGCGAGACAGCGGCGGAAGACGAAGACAGAGAAGCACCCGAGATCGGAGGCGGGAGCGAACGCCACCGCGAGAGCGTCGAGAGGGACGTGGCAGAGGAGGAGCCAGGACATGGGTGACAGAAGAGACCCGCCGGCTGGTCCCAAGACCCAAAGCACGCAACCAAAGGGGCAATGAGTGCGGGGCTTATGGCGGCCGCGGGACTAATGCCAGTCGCGCTGCGGCTTCTAGCCGCAACGGCACCACGGGACCAACTGCTGGAGAGGAGATGGATCTTCTGCAAGCCACCGGACAGTGGCTCGAAATACTTGGGATGAGAGATGGAGGCTACGGCTATGTGGAGCCCTCCAATGCCATGCTCAAGGAAAGGCAAGATGAAGCAAAGCGACTGTTGAAACAGTTGAGCGACCGGGACTTGCAGACAATGTTCAGAGCTCTAATGAGGTTGATGGGAATGCTTTATATTGAGATGGCCCACATCCTCATCCACGTCCAGGACCAGCGTGTGAGGGCCTCCGAGATGATAGACGTCGAGGTGGACGAGGACCCTCATGGCCCGGATGAGGAGGAGAGCATCTACATGCAGCTTAGCATGGTCGAAAACACGAGGCCGACCTGGGAGGATACGCTGCAGCTGCTGATCAGGCAGGTGGAAGAGAACGGAGACAGAGAGATGGCAAGAGCACTACGTCGCCGCATCACCAGCAGCCTCTACATGCAGACGGACAAGGGCTCCCAACTACAAGCTGTGCTTACGGCCATAGCTACGGGGCCAGAAGAGGAGGGGTCGGTCCTCTGCGAGACAGGGGCGGACGCAGTGGACAGGATTGAGAAGTGGTGGGCCCGCCTCAAGACCTACATGAACTTGAACGACGTCGACGAGGTGCAGAATGGGACGGGGTCACGGGGGAGCAACCAAGCCGCTGGAGCCCATCCAGGAGAAGACGAGCTACCGGGATTGCGCCCTCCCCACGGAGATGAGGTGGCTGAATGGGAACGAGAGCGACAGCTCATCGCGAGTGAGACCCAGGAGGAGCATCGTCAACAAGAGGAACGCGAGCAAGAGGAGGCGCACCAGAACGAGCAGGACGTCGCACTGTACGAGTTCCACCAGGCTGCAAGCTTCCGAGACTGGGAGAATTGGGTCGTCCTTCACACACCCAACACGGTGAAGCGCAGACGGCTTGTGGTGACCTCGAGGGCTGAAGCAGGGACCGGTGGCCCAGGTGCGATCCTGGGCGTACTTAGCCTGCCGCAGCACAAGGACATCCACCTCACCATGCACACGGAAGAGATCTTGGAACCTGTGAAAGTGGAAGATGTACATGCAAGACCTGTGGAGGCGACTCCGATGGCTTCTTCGCAGGACCCGGGCTTGTTTGAGCGCGTCTTTCAGGCCTGGCGGCGAGGCCAGATCACCAACCTCGGGGTGGAGAATGTTTTCGGGCCTGAGTGGGCGGTCCTCTTCCAACTTGAGAGCGAGGCCCAGACAGCACCGGAAGCAGGTGCGCCTCTGGGAACCGGAACTACCAGACCGTCAACAACACAGGTGGATGCGTCGGACAGCCTGAATGAAGGACAAGAACCTGGACAAGTTCGAGGAGGTGGAACAGGAGATGACGGAGGGGAACCAGGGCGAACAGTGAGGGGTGCAGACAGGGGTTCAGCAAAAGATGTGGACGTCGGCGAGCGGGGCTTGGAGAAGCGGGGCGACTACTGAGAGCATCGCGGTATGTAAACCTTTGCCTGCCCAACATGGGCTCTGAAGCGCAGGTGACGGAAAAGGCCCTTAAAAAAAAAAAAACCCTAAACCCTAAACCCTAAAACCAAAACCCTAAAGCCCTAAACCCTAAACCCCTGAAAGAGCATTGAGGCCTGCGAACCTAAGCTTCGTGGACAAAGCGGCCGATGAAGGCTCCGGCTCCTCCAGCGCGACCCTTGGGGCGGGGCTTGGGGGTTTAGGGTTTAGGGTTCAGGGTTCAGGGTTAAGGGCTTAGGAGTTTAGGGTGTAGGAGTTTAGGGTCTAGGTGATTAGGGTAATGTTGCGGTATGGCTTAAAGGTTGGAGTGTCGGGTTCCATGAGAGCTTTGTCAGGGTTCTACCCTAAACCCTAAGCCCTAATTCTATGCTCAGACAGGGAAGTTCTTTGGCCAAGTTCATCGATCTTTTCGCTGCTGCATTCGATCTGGGGATCCAGTTAGGGTTCAGGTTTAGGGTTTAGGGGTTTAGGCGTTTAGGGTTAACATTTGTAAGTAAGCATGTCTTAAAACACAGGCCTTGTTTCTTTCTCTGTCTCTTCATAGTGTGGTTGTTTGGAGGTTGCGGATTCTGTGTGGTTGATGAGGGTTGTGTGGGGTTTTCCAGTTCAGGTTTCAGGGCTTGGGGCTCGGATATCCAGGTTTAGGGTCTGGTGCAGGGCTAAGTTTGTAGAGTTTAGGGTTAGCATTGAGTAAGGTTCAGTTTGGGCGGCTTTTCTAGCTGTGAGCCCTTAGTGTATATCCTAGTTGAGGGTTTGGGGCTGTGGTTTTGGGTTTACGGCTGGGATCCCACACTTGGCTCTTATAAGCTAGCAGCATTCTCGTTGCCATCTCAGTGCGCACCCTCGGCCGATAGACCAACCGGATTTGTACGCGTGTGTGAGCGATTGGGTGCTATTCCTTTGCAAGTCAGTACGTAGGCCATGGAACATTCCGCAACCCATACAGGCACGCCATGTGATGAGCAAGATTTGGGTCCATGGATTCGGGTCTATGAGATCTTGGGCTGCAGAGCTATGTCTCACTGCCTGCCGTGGCCTAGAGCACTTGACCCGTACTATCGGCAGAGAACATCTTCGACTTCCACGGCTGAAAAGGAGCCAGAGGTTAAGTCGTTCAGGCTTGCATACAGTTACTTGCGATGGAGGGCAACGCTTGCAACAAAAATTGGAAGCTCTACCGCCAATTCCTGAACCCCAAACAAAGCACTACCGAGCTCTGAAATATGAAACCCTCACGCACCGTCAAGAGATCCATGCCCTAACGGGTGCAGGCTCTAAGTTGTGTATCGACTTGGGCCGGGAACCCTGAACCCTAAACTTTCAGTCCTCGAGATGCTGGCAGACATTGCCCGGGGGCAAGAAGCCATTCCAATAAGGCGTTTCGTTTAGGGTAGGGGCCTGAATAATTTCCTATATCATGTTGGTGGGGATCCTTATTATACTTATAGTAGAATGGCCCCAAAGCCCTATTCTAATTCTTAAGGCCCCTATATCATGTGGACTGCACCTTCCAGCGCTGCAACTAGAAACAGGCGTCCTCCCTCACCCTACGAAACATCGCCTCAGCCTCTGTTGTAGAGCTTAATTCACAACCCTGGGCCCAGCCTAAACCTTGTAAATCCGTAAATAGTGTCCAAATACAAAATAAGGCATGTAAGATGCACTCTAAACCCTAATTCGAACCCTGAACCCTGAACCCCAGCGACCCAAAGCCTAAGCCCCACAAGCCCTGAGCCCTATAAACCCTAAACCCTCACAGATCCCTTTGGAGGAATCCTTTCAAAAACCCAAGAACCTTTTGAGTTACCCTAAACCCTAAACTCCCTTAACTCTGATTACCCTGACCCGAAAGCCTGAACCTTATCGATACCCTAAACCCGAAGCTCTCCTTGGAACCCAGGCTCTAGAGCCCTAAACCCTACACTCCAAACCCTATAAAACCCTAAACCCTAAACCGCCCTAAACCCTCAAACCCTATACCCTATACCCTAAAGAGCCCAGAGCCCGACACTCCAAACCCTAAACCCAATAGCCCATATGCTCTTTAGGGTTTAGGGTTTAGGGTTTAGGGTATACCCTAAAGAGCCCTAATGTAGAAGCCCAAATAACTACCAAACATGATTCCTAAGGTTCCTTATTCTAACTATACTCTGAAGGACCCCCAAACCCCCTATTCTAATTATTAAGGCCCCTACTATAGAGCCCTATTATAGATCCCTTCTAAAACCCTTTAAGGATCCCTTTCAGGGAACCCTATTCTAATTATTAAGGCCATGCCCTAAACCCTAAACCCTAAACCCTAAACCCCTAAACCCTAAACCCTTAAACCCTAAACCCTAAACCCTATTCTAATCATGAAGGCCATGCTGGGCTCTGGTTCGAACCAAGGCTCGAGCAGCTCCCGCTCAAAGAAGAAAAAGAAGCGGAAGCGATCGTCGGGCGCAAATCCGGAGGAGGCAAAACCAAAGCTCCGTTTAGGGTTTAGGGTTTAGGGGTTTAGGGTTAGCGGTTTAGGGTTTGGGGTTTCGGGGTTTAGGGGTTTAGGGGTTTAGGGTTTAGGGTTTAGGGTTAGGGGAGACCCAGCACTGTTTGTTTTGAAGGGCTTGGGGTGTAGGGTTTGGGGGGGTTGCGGTTCTACTACCTGAAACCTGCATATTCCAAATCTAGAACCTTCAGATGACAGGGAGTTCCGGTTCCCTGCGTAGGCTACGGTGCGCAGTTTCTACGTTGCCTCTTTTCGTTTGAGCCTTGTGAGCTCGGGGTTTGAGCTCAATAAAACGGGTGCCCTCATTCTACCAATAGGGAAGGCCTGGAGGCAGTTTTAACTATAACTGTTTAGGGTTTAGGGTTTATGGGTTTTGGGTTTACGGTTTAAGGTTTAGGGTTTAGGGGTGCACCCCCGAAACGCCCTCACCTGTAGACTCCTGGCATGCCGCCCTCTTCTTGCAGGACCCTCATCTCAAGATAACTAATGTAGTTCTGCAAAGCGTTTCGTTCAGTTAGAATCAATCAGATGGGTGTTCGAAAGAGAACATTGGTAGTTGTTCCACGGTTCCTTCTCACCACGACCCCGAAAAGAGCTTGTCATTCAGGTTGTCTAGATCAGGCTTCGCGAATGTTTTCGGTTTCGATGCCTTTCAGGATCGGAGTTTTTGCATGATCGCTGATAAAAAAGCCCTATATCCAAGCATCTGCGGTTCAAACCCCTCATCCGTAAACCCTAAACCCTGTCCCAAAAGACGCCACCCGGCCGAATGGATTTATAGAGCCCTAAACCCTAAACCCTAAACCGTCATGGTTTAGAGGGCTTGGGGTTGATAGGGGTTTACTGCGCCCCTGCATACTCCCGCAGTCCCGAATTGAAAGAGGCCCAAACCGTCAACCCTCAACTCCTAGACTCCTATAAACCCTAAACCCTAAACTCCCAAACCCTAAACCCTAAAGCCTAAAGTCCCCAAACCCCAAAGTCCCGACTTGAAGATCCGGAAGAGGCCCTGGAAGCTATGCTGAAGGGCGAGCGAGTAAGAGACGACCGGCGGAAGAAATCCGCAAGGGACGCAGGCTCGGATTCAAGGAGCTTGGGTTTAGGGTTCAGGGCTTAGGGTTTAGGGTTGAGGGTTTAGGGTTTAGGGTTTAGGGTTTTTGGGGTTTGGGGTTTAGGGTTGAGGGTTTAGGGTTTTTGGGTTTTTGGGGTTTAGGGTTTGGGGTTAAGGGTTAGGGTTGCGGGGATAGGGTTTAAGGTTCAGGGCTGTGGGTTTTAGGGTTTAGGGTTTGGGGTGTTCGGTTTTGGTCCTGGGGTTTCGA